ACATGTTTCTGAAGCATACAGACAAAGCTGCAGATAGAAAAGGGCCTCATTGGTGCAGGGCTGGGGTGGGGTGGGCTGGGCTCTAGCATGACTTGAAAATCTATAGCTGGCTTTAAAAAGCAGGGGAAAGAGCAAGAGCAAGCAGTGTGTGTTGTTGGACTTGGACTGCTGGGAAATGAGCTGAGAAGACGCTTTCAGGCTGAGTATCATCCCTTTCCCAAATCCCTGCAGGTGCAAAACAGTCTCATTCTTCCATTTTTTGGTGCCAGCAATTACCAGCCTTCAAAGCAGATCACACTTTGGGGTGTCCTGCGCCATCCTACTCATCAGGACCCCCTTACTCTGCCTGGGACCCCCCCCCCAGTTACCCTACCCTGCAAGTGTGACTTCTGCAGCACCTTGCAGCCACCTCATCTCGATCAGCTTTCTGCTAGATTTGGTTTCTGCTGCCAGGAAACATCTTCCCAACCGCAGTATGGGCTCTAATTGGTGCCACACTCTGGCCCCTCCATGGTTGAATCTCAGACTGTTCAGGGCCCTAGCAGACTTCTATCACTCCAGTCCTCCAAGAGGAGCCCTGTGAAGAGTCCCTCCTTCCAAAAATTTTTCACTTCCCAGACCCTCACTCCCATTTCCCAGACCCTGCAAGAGAGGCACCACCGTCCGCCCCCCATTCTTGTGCCCTTCGCATCCTTCTGAATACTCCCGTTGCTTCTGGTTACAGGCAGTTGCTTCTTACCTCGGGCTCCTCTGGGCCAGTGCTGTCCTAAGTTACCAACCTTGGTGAGAGAGAAAGAGAAGTGGGGCAGTGTGCAGTTTATAACAGCCACATCTGCTATTTCACTGCCTCCCAGCAGACTGCCCCAGCCCAGCCTTCAGCGAGCTTCAGGTTACAGCTTCCCAGGACTCTCTTAAAGTGGACTGCTCTTGTTTTTGGTTTTGTGCTTGTGTCACTGGATTTTATTGGCTTTAACCCTGCCCTTTCTCCAGCTTCTGAAGCAAACGCCCCCTGTTTGCTCTGGACTGAGAACCAGCTACTCCCAGTTCTGGCACAAGTTCCCTGAATGACTTTGGGCAAGCTGTTTCCCCCTTGGTGCCTCAGATCTTCCTTCCCTATCTTGCAAGGGGTGTGAGCCTTTTTGTAAATAGCTTTGAGGTCCCTATCTGGAATGTGCTACAGCAGCATTAATAGAGCAGCAGCTTTAACTCAGCAAGAGGCTGGCGAATCAATAGCAGCATCCAGGAGCTGGTTTGAAGTCATTAAGGGGCTGTATCCAGGAGTGATGAGGACAGAACTAACAAGAATAGCTTGACGTGCTTGGTGAACAGGGGGCAGCCAGGACCGCCCTAGGCATCTTACCAGCAGTACTCTGCACAGCCCCTTGACAGGGGGGAAATGCTGCGAGGGTATTGGAGGCAGCTGTACCAGACCACATAATCTGGGGTTGCCCTGGCATTTCTCCCTGGTGGGCTGCAGACCTTATTCCTCAGGCAGTGAGAAGTATAGCATTGGCTTTTGTATACGTGCAGTGTTCCCTACAGCCCCTCAGCTAATAGAAAGAAGAGGTGACTTAGAGAACAGGGGGCTCTGATCTGGAAAAGCAAATCAATGACTCCCCATTTCTTGTGGTTCACTGCTTTTTCCCCGGTCCCACCCAAAGGGGAGACGACCCCCTCACTGAGCAGCGATGAGATGAGCAGCTGTGGCCTTCTGGGAAACTGTAAGTAGAGATCTGTGGAGATGACCTTGTATTTTTTGCCCCTGTTATGCACACATGAGGCTGAGCAGTGTTGGTAATTAAAAAGTAAAATTCCTCTTCCCATGTCATTGTTTCCTTTTCTTCAGTATTTGCATTTGGTACTGAAATACTTTCTGTGGCAGGTCCTGGGGTAATTCTTCCTAAAGCTTAGTCTGTACAAGAAAGTGGTACTAGTTCAAGTACATCTTGGTTTTAAACCAGTTCAGTTAAACCTGGGTTAAGCGCTGCATATATCCTTCTATTGGCTTAATCCAGGCTTATTTTGGCAGAGCATAAATTAATCAGGGCTTGTCTACATACAGAGTTGCGGCAGTTTAGCAAAAGGCTGGACTTTAAATCAACGTAGCTAACTCCATGCAAACCACCGTGGTGTCAACTGAAGGTCTCGGGCCATGCGGCTTAGGCAGTGTTAGGCTTCATATCATGGACATTCAGTATATCACTCATGAGCTTACTTTGGTGAGCAAGTTCAGTGACATTTCCAGGTGTGAAGTTAGCAAGAAATATTTCTGTAATCACTTCACCCTCTGGGAAGATTGCTGCACAGAGCAGAGGCCTGGCTGTCTAACATGGAGTCAGGGGCCAACACAGTACTAAGTGGTGCACGATCATTGTCCTGAGATGAGAGGGCTTGATCCTGGATATCATTATTACTTCCCACTCTCCTCTTGAGACCCTCAAAGCCCTGTGCAGAATCTCATGGTTTATACTGATGTAGTCAATTGTTTGTTAAATGCATATGGTACAATCAGAGCAGGGGGTGGTCACTGGAACAGTGTGAAGATAACTGGGGGGAGGATGCACAGGAGGAAAGTAAGAGAGTTTGGCAAAGTGAATGGGAGTTGGAAGGAAGAAAACCAAATTGCACAGGGTGTTGAGGATGAAGAAGCGCTTGCCTTCTAGAGACAGTTTGCTGGAGTGCAGAGGTGTGAAAGGGAAAGAAGTGACCATAACTGGGTCTGGAGTACAGCAAGGTGGGACTCCAGGAGGCTGGAGAGCAGGAGGGTGCTATAGCCAAGGCAGGAACTACCTTAAGCGTGGACAAGTGCCTTTAAGTGAAGGTTATAATTCAGATGAAATGTTCCCTGTGGACTGGTGCTAGACCCTAGTAATAGCTTTGGATTCCTGTGGTTTTACTTGTTACTTACATAGTCCAGTAATTATACCCTCTTATTGAAGAGTAAAGGCCAGCACATGGGTCACAGGACTAGGAATTATTCTTAGATGTTTTCCCCTCTTAGACTTGGAGTCTGCATAAAACATGCATGGGTCTGTTGGTAATTGCAGGGTTGGGCTAGCTGCCTTTTTATGTACTCTCCTATGTCCCCAGAGTTCATAGTCGGTGAATCCATCTGCCTCATCCTGTACGCAATCAAAACTGTGGGACATTCAGTGAGGAAGATTTCCCCAGGCAGCCTCCTCTTGCAGCATGGCTGAGGCACAACTTGTCAGGAACAGTTACTATGTGAACAGGGAAATGTTGAGAAAGTGGCACTGCGGCTTTGTAGCTACCATTGTGCAAAAAGATAATGGCAGGAATTCTTCCTAAAAGCTGGATGAGATGTGGCACAGGCTCTACCATGAACAACAGTAAGTGGGTTTGAAGAACCCCCTGGAGCAGCAAGGCTAAAGTAATCCAGACTTAGCTGCTCTGGTAGCAATTGCTGTTTCTACAAAACATGAATCTTAGGCTGCAGCATTCATCAAACACGTGGTGAACTTTTTCAGAGTAGGGATCCAATGAGCTGCCCTAACTTTAGACAGAAGTGAAGTTCTAGGTAGACTGTGCTCAGACTGGCTAAAGGCAGTGTGATTCAGTACAAGGAGAGACACCCTTCTCCTGAAAAGCGTTGTGGGCATGTAGCATTGTTCTGCATGGCCAGAAGCACCCTATATGGTGGATAAATCACACATAGGCTGTACCGCACCATGGGGCAGATTATACACCTTGCCCCATTATATTCAGTAACCTGCCACTAGCCAGTACTAATTCCCACCCTACTGCACCTGGTCAGCCGTGCACTGCAGCTTATGGGTGAAGTGCCTCAGACTTGTGCAGTGTTCGGTCCGTGCCAACTGACGTCAGGCTGCTTCTCCCTCCCTTTGGGCCACCTACAGCACTAGATTCTCTACGTGCTGCAGCTGAGAGTCCCACAGGTGAGCAGGAAGCATCTGTACTTACTGGCCATTAACCTTATTCCATGGCCTGTTGCTCTGATGTTGTGTGCTGGGTGAGCAAAAGGGTCCAGCCGGTTCTCATGCACTCTTCATAACCTTACCCCCTTCATCAAGCCCAGCCAGCCCTCTTCTTCCTTCTGTTTTCAGTCCTCTGCTTGTTTGCTGTCCTCCCCTTCCCCTTTCCTGTACCTGTTGGGTCTCTCAGGGTGACACCTCAGCCAGATAACATCTGCTTCACATGTTTATTAGTCTGCTAACATAAAATTACTAAAAAACACTTTACAAAAGATGCCTCAAAAATCCAGTGTGGCCTAAGTCCCCCAGAGACAGAATCGTTTTCTCAGACAGGAGGCTGGTGGCAGGGATAGAAGGAAAGTCACCTGCTTGCCGTCCCATGCCAAGGCCCCATCCAACAGGGCCAGGGAAGGGTTGCTCAAAGAAACCTCAGCCTGGGACGTGGCTGTGACTCACTCCCAGGGAGAAGACTGCTTGCTGCTAACCCATCTGACGTAGCTGCTGTTTGGCTCGCTTGTGACTGATGAGCAAGTGCATATGTTACTGACTGCCCGGAGAGAGGAGGAAGTGGGGGGCTCGGGGAGAGGCAGCCTTGCTCTCTCTGTTGTCCAGGTTGTCAGAATGAGTCTAGACCTTGCAGGTACCAGGGCTGCGCAGCAGGGGGCACTCGGGCAGAAGTAAGGCAAGGAGAGGCAAGTCCCCTGGGTCAGCCCTGTAGGGGTGGCCAAGAGAGGCCTTCTAGCAGGGATGCGAAGTAAGTGGTCCCCTGAGGCAAAGGCTCAGTGTCTGACGAGAGTCCAGGCAGGAGGAAGCCTCCCTTCAGCGCTGAGGCCTCTGGAAAGTGAATCTAAGCAGACAAAGCTTCTCAGGGCTGGCACGGAGGGCTCAGTGGAGGGGCCTGTCAGGGCTGGCACAGGGGACTGCTAGAGGGGTCTATAAAGAAACCAGGGAAGGGCTGCCTCCAAGGACCGGTGCAGAGAAGGCCCTTAGAGGAAGCCCCAACAGGAGAGGCCTCCCTTGGCTAGTACAGAGGGTCAAAGAGGCGGCAGTCCTGGGAGTCCCTTATTTGGGGGGGGAGTCTTTGAGGCCAGATTTCTCATCAGACACGTCTTCCGGCTCTTTCATTTGCTGGGCAGCACTGGGGTTGGGGTTCTGGATTTTGCCTACAAAGAGAGGGATGCCCGTTATCTCCTCAAAGATGATGAAGAGAAAGGGTCGGTCAAGTCTAAAAGTGGACAGTGACCGTGACAGCATAACGCTGGTGGCAGCTGATGCCTCCACCCCTTCCTCTGCCAGCTCCAAGGTAGACTGGTGCTGGATGCTTGACACCAGGAGAGGCTCATCGGTGATCTTCTGTAGATTGGGGGCTGAAAATAGCTCCTTGAGGCCTGAAATGAAACCAAACTGGAGTCAAACAGAAACCCATCTGCTGTCCAGCTCCGTGTCATGGCATGCCATTAGCTCAGACATTCCCTTTATCCCTGGAGTGGAAGAGGAAGCAGCAGCCTGACCAAACGGTTACTGTGGAGTTACACAACACCAGGGTTTGGATGGTGAATCATAGCGGACTCCAGAGAAGAGAACAGGCAGGCAGAGAAAGCAAACATAAATCTCTAGCCAGATTCACCAGTCCCTCCCTGTTGGGAGAGGCAAACAAACAGTTTTCATGCAGACTATCTAGCCATCCTCTGGAGGATTTAATGCTCTTGCCTACACCTTAGTACCTGACCATTTGTCAAATGAAATCAGTAGCAATTCTAAAAGTTCCAGATGGACTTCATGCAGTTGCTGACACTCCTCTTTTTTGGGGGGAAAATCTCTGCTTGGAGTAATTTTTTGTCTGTTGGTAGGTGTTGCTTGTTTTCAAATTGGTCATTTGGGTAGAATGAGGACACATACTGCAGATCTCATCCTTGCTATACTGGAAGTGTTTTTCTAAACAAGAAGGTTTCCCAGTATTTCATAAAGATATTCAGCTTCTGTTTTTAGTCTCATCTGGAAGTTCATTCCACACCCAGATCCCTTCAACAAAGAGCACACCCTGCCCTGCTTTCGCACACTGTCTTGGCCTTTGTGATCTACATTGCCTTGGCAGTTCATACATCCCAACCACTGAGTTAATAAAGGTACAAAGTAGGCAAAGTGTTGGTCTTTGATGAGGTTGAAAGCGTGATGGGAAATAAGAGTGGGGAGATCAGGAGACTAACAGATGTCAGGACTTGCACAGTTGGTGCAAAAAAAGGAGAGCTACTTTTTTGCACCAACTGTGGCTGCACCTTGTTGGGGAATAAGGAAAAGACAGTTGCTAACAGGTAGAGGAATTCAGAAATGAAAGTCCTCGAGGCTGCCTGAAGCAAGTTTGGTGGGGGGGATTGACAATAGGGATGGTGGTTTTGAGTTTTGGTGCACAGATGATAAGTGGGATTGACCTTACCTAGCCGGCTGAGGACTTGGTTGAGCTCCAGCTTGTAATCTACATGCATTTTGGGCATCTTCACCAGGGTGGGCTTCTCTTTGGGGAAGCGGCCACGAAGCTTGTCATGGCTGATGTTCTCCAGCACCTCCGAGACATTCCACCCAAACTTGTTTGGGACAATGGCTACAAAACTCATGTTGCCCTTAAAGGGAAACCTGGCCACCTGGAAACAAGCCAAGCCAAAGAATGGGTAGAACAGGAAACAAGCAAGCAAAGGCCCTGAGCACCTCCGTCTTATCCTCAATAGGTTCTTATGTTCTTACACTTGCAGTGGCCCTGCTCCACAGGGATCCTCCTGCTCCCAGTTCCCTTGAGGGGATTCAGTCTCCCTGGTCCTCCCAGACCTGCAGATGCACAAGCCTCATTAGGTCCCAGCTAGTATGTGCCCATGGGGTATTTTCCCGGTAGCTTTGAGAGGATAGATTTTACATCCTTTCCGAGGACAGGCTCAAAGAAGGTGTCCTACACCTGCGAGCAGGTGCTGTCTTCTCAGAGCAAGTGGATGCAGCAGAAGAATGACAGTGATAGTGGGGCACTGGTACAGCAGCCTTGCCGCACCCCCGACAGATGCTCACCTGCATTTCCAGGGAGTCCAATGTAAACCAACTCAGGGAGTATTTCTGGGCTTTCATCATCTCCACAGAGACCATGAACTTGTCATTAAGGTGGAACATATCTGGACCTGTCAGGCTGGCATCAAACTTGTTCCTCCAAAATCCTGTCCAGAAACATGTAGAAATCAGTAAAGCCAGGCTAGAATGGAAAACCAAGAGAGAGACCTGCCTGTGCTCCTTTCACCCTGCCATCAGTGCTCAGGTCTGTGGGCATTGCTGTGCAGGGACAAAATGAACCCTGCCATGCAGAGAGAACCATGACAGCAGGGTGTCCTTATCTTCAGGAGAGACTGCATGGAGTAGAGGGGTGAGACCGGGCCTGATCAGCCCTGCCCCACCTCAGCTTGGGGAGAAAGCTGCACCCTGTGGGATGAAGCAGTGAATGTGTGTGGACTGCTCTGAAAATAAAGAGCCTGGGGTCCAAGCTGCATGCTCGTATGAGGGACTTCCCTTGCATGATGGGCAAGCTCAAGTTAGCTGTTGAGGAAAAGGAAGAAACCTGAAGCAGCAACTAGCAACACGGGGACGGAGGAGAGAGGCCGGCGGCAGTGACGCAAGCACTGTGTCTGCAGGAGTGGCAGTGGGTTTCTGTACGAGTTGAAGAACGCCCCTAGCAGCAAGGTACATCCAGCCTGCAGGGATTTAGGGGAGGATCTGGGTGGACCTGGCCAGGGCTCGGCAGAAGTCACCTGAAAGAATCCTGGTTGGCACCTGCTGGAATATGCACACCCCGCCTCTGGTGTTCGTATTCATCTAATTCTGAGCATGGGTAGGAAGACAGGAGTCTTCACTGTAGTGATCTGACTGAGCAAGGGGAGCTGCAAACGTGCAGGGGGAGGAAAAGACATCCAGCCAAGTGGGAAAGAGATGAAAGAAGAGCCGCTCGGACCCACAGAACTGCTGCATCTGGAGACAGCCAGTGGAGCCATAGCTCTTCTCTGGGATGGAGAGGCCTGGGGAGCATACTAGCACACACCTCGGAAGTAGACAGCGTTGAGCAAGAGCATCACCATGCTATCGGGGAGCTGAGACAGGAAGGAGGAGATATGCCCCTTTGTCACCTCCTTTACCCATTTGTTTATGGCTATGAGATCATCCTCCTTGTTTCCAGACAGGGTCACAGGCTTCGCTCCATAGAATCTCTCCGAGTTGTCCAGAAATTTCTCTTTAACCTCAAGTCCTGTGGGAGAAGAACTGGACATGAGGTCACCAGGCCCTGATGAAACTCACTCAGCAAAATCAGCCAGAGCAGGTGCAGCCCGGCTCCCTCAGCAGGCAGGAAGGGCATCCCCAAGGACTGCGTCGGGAAGCAGACACGTCTCCCTTTGCCATTGGCATGCCTGTGTGTATGTGCAAGTGTCACAGACCCCCCGGCATGAAGGTGCTTTTCCCTGCTCTCACCTTTCTGCAGATACAGCCGGGAAGCCACGCTGAGCATGGACTCTGTGAGCACTCTGCGGATGCTGCTTAGCGTGGGGTGGAGGCAGGGCACTGACTTCAGGTGCATTGCCTCCAGCAGATGCTTCTCTGTCTGGTTTTCTGCTCCTGAAAAGCAAGGTCAGGTTCCAGTTCACAGTGCTGTCTGGAAGGGATGGATGCCCCTTTGTGACGGGATGGCTTGTGTCCTCCCAAGAAGCATTGGTGGCACTCAGCATGGGACAGCGAGACCAGCTTCAAGTGAGGGCAGCCCAGGTGTCCTGGTTAAAGCAAGCCACAGGATCAGGCTTTGGGGCAGAGGATGCTGTGCTGAACTTCTGCATTTTTGGACGCCGACTACCAGTGCTTCTTTGAGAAGGAGCACTGTGGAGCATGAGAGCTCAGCTGTTTAAAATGAAGGCATTACCTAGTGCCAGGTGGGACAGCGCCAGGGTGATGCTGAGGGGAGAGAGGACCACGTTGGATTGGCTGTTCTCCAGCTCGACCTCTTGCAGGAGATCAGCAGTGAATTTCATCAAGCCATCTGCTAGCTTCCTTATTCTTTCCTGAGATATGTCGCAGTTTCTCTCTTCATCCTCTTCCTCCTCGTCAGAGGAATCCTCTTCTTGTCCTTCCAGCACTTGTTCGTGACTTCCCCCTGTCCCAGTCCCAGGTTCGTCCTCTGGGCTTGTGAAGTTGTCGCTACACACTGTGGTGGTAGCGGTAGTAGTAGTGGCGGTGGTACTAGCAGTGGGTGTGGGTGGTGATGTGGGTCCATGAATGTCCTCCCAGGTGTCACTGGTAGAGTCTGACACTGCAGCGTTCGGCAGGGTTGACACAGCTGCAGGCAAAGTAACGCTGGTGAGAGTGGGCTGCAGGTCCTGCCCTGAGGTTCCAGTCACTTCATGCCCCTGGGAAGGAACAGGAGAATTGCATTGAGAGAAAGCAGAAGAATGGAGCTGGGTACTCTGATGCTTTCATGGACCTAGCAAGCAGCTCGACCTGGCTGGGAGGCAAATGGTCCCAGCGCGTGGTGGTGGGGAACCCATGGCATGTGGTTAGCAGGCTCAGGCTCCTGGCTCTGTTGTTAAATGTAAGAGAGGGCAGGAGCTGGAGCAGCCACCTGAGAGGTCACCAACACCCTCAGCTGTGATACGGCCTACAGGGAAGAGCAGAGGGACCATCTGGTGAAACCATTGCTGCCTCTGAGGTGACATGGAATTAGGAACCTGCACCCGGCCCCTTCTCAGTCCTTGCACCTACTGACTACGGCATGTAGACGTTGCCTTGGGTGGCACCTGCACTGGTCTACCTGACGCGCACAGCCTGGCCCTGGCCAGTCCTTGCCTCTGCCCTGCTAACTGTCAGGTCATGGGTCATGCGGAGGGGCCCTTCTCTGGGCAGTGTGCGTGGTGCAGGGTCTACCACTATGCCCTGCAGGGATAAAGCAGCTATTTCAGATGCCTTGGCACAGGCTTGGAAAAACAGGACATAGCTTATTCCCAAGAAAGTCTAGGAGAAGCAGAGACATCCAGCGCATTCACTAGCTCCTCCCTGCCCACGCTCAGGTTGTCAAACACCAAGTGAACACGTGGCTGCGTCTCAGCTTCCTTCAGTTAAATGCCTCAGGCAAACATGCTTCTCCTGGGCAGGACGAGTCTTCTGGGCCCAGTCCCCTTTCTTCACATAAGCTTTCCCTGTGCCTCCACTGCTTTGCAGTCCTAGTCTCCTCAGACACAAACTCACCTCTTTTCCATGCCTCTTAGGATGGCAGCCATCCCTGCTGGTGTCACAGGCTCACCCCCTCTCTGCAGAAATATTCCCCCCAGCATCTATCCCCTATCACCTTGTCTATTCTGCTTCAACCCCTTTTTCTCTTATCCCCCCTGCATCCTGGTTCTGGCGTGTGCAGAATACTGCTCCCCCCCTGCTCACACAGATGTGTGTAGTCACATCATCACTTCCCCAGCCCCTCTCAGCTAGTTCTGTGTTCAGCTCAGCACCCAGTTCAAATCTTAAACTGGCGTGGATTTGTTCCAACCGATGTCACAGCTCCTGTTAGAGGACCTCCTTCCCTCTCCTTTCCATGCCATGTCAGCAGCCTGGTCTGCAGCCATGGCAGTCTGCAGCCGCTTCTCTGAATGTCTGTATTCTTTCGGCCTTCTGCTTCTGCAGCCCTGCTCACTTTGTGGGGAGAGTCTGCCCTCAGTAGCTGTGCACGACAAACCTTCCCTTCAGAACAGCAGGAGGTGAAAGAGGAAGTCCTGGGACCTTCTTGCAGAGATCAGTCTCTCGGCCAAGACTGCTTCTTGAATCCTCACGTACTCTCAGCATCGCTCCTCTGCCCTGAGCCTCACGGACAAAGGGGAACCTGGGTTCTGTGCAACTACCATGCCCATGCAAGCCAGTCGCCAGGCAGTGGTGCTTGCAGCTGCTCGCCTAAATGACTGAGGCCTCCATCGGTCAAGCACTGAATGCGTACGCTTAGCCTTTCCTGTGGGAGTTGTCCCTCTGCACACCCTAGGATTACTCCCTGCAGAACAGCAGCGTTCTCCCTGAATGCCCTGCAAGAGCTCAGCCTGGCACCCAGCAACTGCAGGATCAGGAGCAGGGTCAGAGCAAGGGGGTGGCCTTGGATACAGGCCTTTCCTGCCCTTGCCTACAGCGGGTAATTCTCCCCACCCTCTCCTGCTGGGCTGTGACTGGGGGCTTAGTTCACCAGCCAGTCCCTTCACACACCAGCTTCCATCACAGATGCCACCTCCTGCCCACTTGCTTTACGCTGGTTTTTTCAAACAGCATGAGAAGCGAGATGTCCAAATCCCATTAGTCAGTGGGATCTGGGCACCTGGCTCCCAGAGACACCTTGGAGCATCTCAGCCTGAGCAGCTGTGGGACACAGTGGGCAGAGAGGACGACGCGCTGTAGCTGGGCCTGCTCTTTCCCGCAGGTGTGTGCAGGTGTCACTGGCAGGGCCCACCCTACACTAAGATGAGCTGGGGGAGATTTGGAAATACCCTGCAATAACCTCATTTGGGAGCCAGTCCTGTCTTACCTGAGAGCTGTCCTGGTGAAGTGTAGGGATAAAATCCATCTCCAGGGCATATGCCAAAGGGCACTGCAAGAGAAAACCCAGAGGCAAAGCTGACGGGAAAGGGAAGGGGCCTGGATTTGGGCGAAAGACACACCCTCTGGCCCACTGCCTGCCACATCCCTTAGGATCATAGGGAGGTTGGTCTGGAAGAGACCTCACAAGGTCATCTAGTTCAGCCCCTTCTCCCAGGCTGGGTCAGAGGCTGCTCTTTCCTCTTTTCTTCCCCCCGCCCCCCATTGGCGCCCATAGCTTTCTGGAGTATGGATAGGTCTTTCCAGCAAACAGCAGCAGAAGGGTCTGTGGGTGGGTGATGAACATGTTCAGAGGCCTGCAGAGAGCCCCATGGCAGGAGACTGCAAGACTGAGCCCATTTAGGTTGGAGGGGTACAAAACAGTGGCCAGGTCCAAATGCGACTCAGGCACTCCTGCATACCTGCCGTCTCAATACGCAACTGGGTGGCAGATTTAAAATGGGTAGAAGGAACTTAGTTTACACAGTGCCCCACTAACCCCTGGAGGTCGTGGCCACGAGACATCACCAGAGCCTAGGCCCCAGGGAATTTGGGCGTAGTTCTCTGGGTACCAGGAATGCCTGCGGCCTCACAGAACGGAGGAGAGGAAAGGAGGACTAGACAGCCTCCCGCTCAGCGCATGAGCCAGCACCCATCCAAATGGGCCAGACAGAAGTGTGGCTCCATCATTGTCCTTTCTGGGGTTTCTTCTTCAGAGCCTTTCACTGCTGGCTGCACATGGAGAGTGGACCCTGCCCCGAGCCCACTGGAGACTGCGCACCCCGTTCCTTGCACTGCCCCAGCACAGGCAGAGGAGCTGCCCGGCAGGACAGGAGAAGGGCAGCAACTTACCCATGGGCGGTGGTGCAGAGCAGACAGGCAGAGCAGCAGCAGACCCCAGAGCAGCACCGCCATCCTTCTAGGATGCCAGAGGCAGCAGAGGTACGCGAAGGCGCTCCCAGGACCCCCTACCGCCTGTCAACTGCGAGCAGAGCCTGCCCGGTTCCCTTCTGCAAACAGCAGGAAGCGATTAGCCCAGGGTTGGGGATGGAACTCAGGAGCCAGGGGGAGAAGCAGGGGCTACAGCCAAGCTGTTAGGAAGGCCACCCTGGGCGGCAGCAGCAGGCAAGGGGAGCAGGCGTGAGGCAGCACTGGAGCCCGGGGGGCACTGCTGGACAGTCCCCCCCTGGCCCCTGTTGCCAGCCCCTCTCACCCCAGCCTGGCTGGATGGGAATCTACAGCCTCCGAATGCTCCCAAATGAAATCTGCCCCCGAGAGCAAAGGGAGAGATGAGGAGCCCCCTTCAACCCCATGTACACTGCATTGGGGTAGGGAACAGGACTCTCCGACGGTGGGAGAGGGGAACCCAGGCAGCCCTGCCCCTGTCCCAGCCTGGGCCATCTCCTCTCTGTAGCCTCCTTTGGCACGGCAGCACTGACCTGCCTCCCCGGGGCCGCAGAGAGCCCTGGGGCTTTGCTGACAGGCAGTGCAGGGCCCTCCCCTTCCCCGCACTCACTGCATGTTGTCCCCTTACTGGAAAGCACAGCCTCTCCCCTCCCACGCTCTGTTCCTGTCCCTGGGGGCCCGCCAGTGCCGCTGGCACGGCCCACCCTTGCCTCTACCCGAGCTTGACGCCACTTACTTATCCTGGCCCTGGGGCAGTTTTCCTCCTCTGTGCTTGCAACGGCTCCCCATACCAGGTACTGAGCCCACATCGCCCCCACAACACAGCCAACATCCTGCTGTTTGGCTTCCGCTTGCTGGGCCCTCCATGGCCCAGGCGGGAACGCTGGGCTGCAGCTGTGCAGGGTGACTGACAGGTGGAGGGAGAAGAGCTAAACGCCACTTCAGCCCCCCACATCTGACAGGTTCCCCTGCCCATGCAACCCTGTGTGTCCCTCCAGCCCCTGGCCCTCAGTCCCTGGCCAAACTTCCCCTCCCTGAGCCAGTCTCACAAACACACAGGGGTCCTCTTCACTGGAGAAGCCCCCCAGCTTGCTGGTGAATCCCCCCAGCCCAGGTACTCCGTACCTTGGGTTCCTCACCGTCCACCTCGCTGCCAGCACTCGCTCTAGCCCAGCCGGGAGCTCTGCAGGGGCGAATGCAGCCCCTGGTCCAGCCCACGTCTGCCCCGCCTGGTGAGAGGTATGGCCCTCAGTACCACCCCCTTATTTGAGGATTTGTTTTCCTTTCAGCAAATATTGACCTACTGCATCCGGCTAAACATTTGTTCTAGGATTGGGAGTGAAGGTGTGGTTTTCGCAGTGGGGGGCTCCAGGCTGCTCCACCCCAAACACAGGGGGACCCCACATTTTCCAGCTTGTGCTACCCCAGAACATTCCTGGAGCAGAAGGGACCAGTTGAGTCTCTTGCTTCTAAGTGAGAGCTGCCCTCTCCAAGGGGTCTGTGCCCAGGCTGGCAGCTCAGCCCCTGGTGCCTGGCCTCCAGCAGCAGAGGCACAGGCCAGCATTGTGTGGCATCACAGTCTCTCCCCCCTGCTTAGGACTCTGCAGGGAAGTCCAGCTTTCTCCAATGGGTGTCCAGCTTGCTCCTACTCTTGCTGCAGGTCAGATAGGACTCTGGCCCCTGTCTCATGGCAATGACCCAGGTGGCTGTTGCAGCACATTCAAGCAGGAAGTAGAGAGGCTTCAGCCTGTGGTTACAGTGCTCAGCCTAAGTGGCTCAGAGGAGGCTGGGTTTTCTGTACAGGAAGCACTTAACCCTCAGCACAGTGTGGGGCAGCTGCCTGCCAGGGAAAGGAAAGCAGGGCTAGCCCATGCATACCTGGGTGTAGGTGCAAACCCCAGGTCAGGGCCGGGAGCCCCACCTCTGCGCTGGGCAGACTCTTTCTGCAGGCGGCCTGAAAGTATGGGCTCTAAAGGCACCCAGAGCACCCAGCCTGGCATGCTGCACAGCTCACACCCCACCCTGCAGCTGGCCTCTTGCCCCAGCCCACAGAAAAGCTCCTCTGTCTCTCTTTCAAAGGGTTTATTAGAATAAATATTTACATCTATTGCAAATGGTTAATAGACAACAAGGGACTGAGAGCTCCCTCCAAAGTGGAAGGACAGCAAGGGACCCAGCACTACCTCCCCTTCCCTGCAAGCACAGCACAGTGAGGGTTTGGGGCTTCCCAACAGCAGGCAGCTCAGGGGCTTGCAGGCAGCACCCACATGCCCCCACAGCAGCTGCAGGTACCCAGCTGCTGCTAGTTACCCCTACCAGGGACACAGGCCTTTCAGCCCCACAGCCAGCCCCTCAGCAGGGGCTTGACCAGCTCAAAGGGCTGCAGCTGAACCAAGCTGTGGGGCTGGGCAGGCAGCTACCCTTGCTAGTGGCCCTAGGGGGTTTTCTACCCCTTCCTTGGGCATAAGCACTGTTGCCTGGAGGGCCTGCTCCAGCCCCTGTCCCAGAGAAGTGGGGGCAGGAGACAGAGCTCTGGGGAGGGTAGCAGAGGCACAGGGCAGGCTGGGTCCACACTATCCTGGTGCTAACCCTGTGAGGACAGGGAGGGAGACCTGACAAGCAGGGGTACTTGGACTCCCAGGACAGTGATTAATCTCCACCTCCCTCAGCAGAAGCTGCCTGCACCACTTTGTTCCACAGCAAACCCCCGTCAGGCCCCGGGGCACCCAGATCCCAACAGTGCATGAAAGGAGCCAGCAGCAGCAAGGTGTCCACACCTGCTCTACCCCAGGAGGCAATGCCTAGAGCCCGGGCCTGAATCCCTACACACAGGTCTCCCTTCTGGCTTCCCTTGACAGAGGGGACTGCCCCACTTCCCAGGGCAGCCCCCTCCGCAGGTGCATTTCCAGACAGAGCAGGGCAGTGTCGGGTTTGAGACTCAGGTGAACAGCTGGCTCCAATACCCTCCTCTTCCTAGGAAGTGAGAAGCCTCAGTGGGTGTCAGGAAGGGTCCCAGGGGAGTGGGGAAGGGGTGGGGGGAAGTGAACAGAACTGCAGCGGAGTATAAAGCAAATCGAGTACCCAGCTGTGCCTCTGAGCCCTCAGCCTTCCAGGCACTAGGCTTGCAATTTGCTGCCCTGCACACCCCAGAGGGAGGTGGTGGTGGTTCCCAGGCCCAGCTCGCACCATCCCTGGGCAGGTGTCCAGGGACCCTGAGCTCGAGTGTGCAGGGGCAGTGCACTTCTCTTACCAAGGGCTGCCTCTCACCCCCTCCTAAAGGGAGGAGAGAGAATGCCCCGGTCCACTTGGTCTAGAGAGCAGCTCAGTCCCCAGGGAGTCAGGCACATGCGGTGTGGAAGGCTCCAGGCCTCTACAGGGGCACTGACCTACAGTGCCCAGCAGTTCTCCCAGCAGTAGCGGAGGTTTCTCCATTATGGCTTTTCTGGACGCAGGCAGGGGTTGGAGCAATCTGCCGAGCACTCGTGAACAAGAGCCTTTCCCTGCATCTCGTAAGCACGGCTTCTCGCCCAGTCCCCAGGAGCACACACTGCCCCTTCGCTTCTACTGCTGGAGCTAGCAGGACTGGGTGCAGGCTCCTGACAGGGCGCCGGGTAGGCAGCCCGCGGCGGTCGCTATGCCAGGAGACGTATCACGCCGTTATCAGAGCCCAGGAGCAGGTGGCATTTGGTGGGCAGCACGGCCAGGCTGGTGAGGGTGCCGCGGAAGTTCTCGGAGCTCAGCTTGGTGGTGCTGACTGGCAGGGCCAAGGGCTCCAACATGGAGTAAACACCGATCTTGTTGGCCACGGTGCCGGTCACCACCTCGCTGCCGTAGAGGTCGAACGCGTGCACGGGGTCGGAGGCCGACTTGTAGTGGTGCAGAGGCTTCTGCTCCAGCTCCTTCCAGACAATCAGGGAGTGGTCAGAGGAGGAGCTGATGAGCATGTTGCCCTCCGCAGCCTGTGGGAGAGGATGAGAAAAGAGGCAGTGAGCAAGGCTTCTGCACAAATTGCAGCCCTAGCCCGAGAGAACTGGCACTGGTCAGCAGAAGCTGACCCTGCCAACAAGCCCAGCAGTGGCTCCCTCAGGCAGCCTGCCAGCTGCATCTGCCATGGGCCCTTTGTACTGTCCCCTTTTCTCCCAGCACAGGCACTTAGGATGGTACCAGCCTCACCAGCACCGAGCCACCTGTCCTCAGATGTTCCCAAGCCAAGCACAGCAGGGTCACGGGTCACTCCAGCAGTTGGCATCCTCCCATGGCGCGGCCTGCTCACTTGGGGCCCGGGGCACCAGGGCTTTGCCTCCCCTCTCCAGGAGACCTGAAGACATCCTGGCTTATCCCTTCCTCAGAGCACCCCAGCCCCTGACAGCGGGGCAAGCACTGAGCTGCCCCTTGGGAGACACCACGTGCCCGAATTATCCCTCCCACCCAGGGTGCAGGGGTGGGGGGGCCCCATCCTGGCTGTGGGACGCCCAGCGCCCAAGACAGCAGAGAGCTGCGGCTTCTGCACTCCAGCTAGCAGAGCTAGCGAGAGGTTAAACAGCCCACGCAGCCAAACTTTGCTTAACCCATGCTAGGTCAAGGACACCACCCCCAGCCTGCTGCCCCAGGGTGGGTAAATATGGACAAGAGTTACTCATTAGAACGAGGCCCTGGGCTGGGGAGGAGGGGAAGCCCCCTGCCTTCCCTAGGTCACACATGGCTTCCAGGCAGCACATGGCCCAGCTGGAGCAGAGGCAAGAGCCCCTGGCAACCCCAGCCCTATGGGTCCAGCTGGGGAAGGAGGCAGGAGCAGCCCCTGGAGAACCATCCACCAGGGATAGGAACCGCAAGGGTGGAGAGAGGAGGAGACTGCCAGGTGTACCGACCCCCTCCTCCCTGCTCCAGCAGAGAGGCCACAAGCTCCAGCCTGAGCCACTATGGTGCGCCCGTACTGCTGCCGTACACATCCTGCAAACCCTGGGACACGGGCAGCCCGGCCCCTGCCCAGCCCCAGCCTCTCACCTTTATCTGCAGGATGTCTCCCTCGTGGGCAGGCCACCCCCGCAGGATGAGCCCCGTCCTGGTGTCCAGCAACACGATAAACCCGGATGAGAAGCCAGCCACAACGCTGCGGCCACTGGGGCTGACGGCCAGGCAGCGGATGAGCCCGGTGCTCGCCCCGCTGGCCAGGCGGAACTCGTGCTGCGGAGACAGAGCCACGAGCACAGATCATCACCCGGTAGCTGGGACACGGTAGGGACAGGGCCCCTGGGCTCAGCAGCCCCATCTCAGGCAAACCCCAGCACGTACGGCCTGAGGCAGCAACAACAGCAGCCCCCGCGTACGTAGGAGAGCGCCCGCTACCTGTATCCCTGGCTTCCTGTGGTCGACGAAGCGCAGCACAGAGTCTGCGCTGGCCACGGAGATGCTGTTGTGCGGGGGCGGCATAGTAGTCATGGCTGTGATGGGGACCTTGCTGTCCAGTGCATCGAAGGTCCGGACGAGCTTGCCTTCGGGCAGGACAAGAGGCCATGAGTGGTGGGAGGTGCTGGACCCCCCTCCCCGCAGCAGGGCAGACTTCACAACCTGCCCAGGCCGGTAGCGCAGCATGGAGCCCATGGGTGCCCCAGAGCATCTGAGCGAAACTCCAGGCCTTCCCCGAGGCTCACCCTGGGGCCAGCAAGAGAGGGAGAGAGGAAAGGAAGCCCCCACCCATTCCCAGCACAGGCTGCAAGGGAACAGGCTTGGACCCATGATGTGGGACCCTCGCAGTCTAGTTTCCTGCCTTCAGTAGTGGCTGTGTAGCCTGCTACTTCCCCAGGATGCCTGGTAAGAGGCATCAACCACCTCCTCCTCCAGAGATGGAGTAAGACTTCCCGAGGAAGGCCCCGGGCTCGCTCCCCTCCACGCAGCTGACCAGCGTGCCCCAGCTTGCTGCCATGGCTCAGCCTTCTCCTCCCTCCCACCCCACCCCACCCAACCCAACCCCTTACCCGTGAACTGGTCCCAGATGTGGACGGTGCCGTCACAGCTCACCACCTGCTGCGCGGCCTCCAGCTGGCCCACGTAGAAGACCGACTTTTTGTGCTGCGTATACGTGAGCCGCGGCTCAACCTCACTAGTGCCGTCCCCACAGTTGTAGAGGGGCCACAAGCGGACTGTCTTGTCCTTGCTGCCACTCAGGAAGAAGTCCTCAGTGCCCAGCGGGGCCACACACTTGATGGCCCCCAGATGGCCCGAGAAGCTCTGCAGCTTGATCTGGTGGAAGTGGAAGCGGGAGTCGTGCTGACTCACCCCGATCTCGTACTGCCAGTAGGCCAGCCAGTTCCCACACAGCATGTGGGCGCCACGTGGCAGGTCCTGCTTCAGGGCGTTCTCCTCGCTGGCCGAGCTGGGAGTGAAGCCGCCCACCCGGGTGCAAACGCCCATCGAGCCAGCGCCATCGTGCTGTGGCTCCACGGGGACCTGGATACGGTTCCCCACCAGCACACTCCCAAAGGTGCCCGAGTGACTGTCTTCTGGGTGGCCAGAGAAGGGGTCAAGGCCTCGAGTATCTGCATCTGCACAGACTGTGTTCACTGCCGGCTCCTGGCTGGCCAGGTGCAGGCTCTTTGGGTTCATGCTCTCCAGGTAGAGGCCAGCCAGCCGCTCTATCAGCACATGGTTGGGAACGATCGTCTGGATGACATCCCCTGGAAAACACAGGTCAGGACCCCAAGCTAAGGAATCTCTTCTCCAGCCTCATGCCCTCTCCCACAGGAGCAGACCTGGGGCCAGCACAAGGCCCACGCAGGATCCAGGGTTCTGGCCAGACAACCAGCCATGGCCAGGGGCCCAGCACAAGAGGCAAGGATGGCTTCCCTTCCCCTGCACATACAGGGAGACCCACGGCACCCAAGGGGTTGCTCCCATCAGCGAGCCTTGCCTGCAGCTGGGGTGCACAGGCCCCAGAGCAGGCAGGCATGCAGCATGCCAGGCAAGGAGCCCCGGCACAAAGTCGTTGCTACACAGAGCAGTGGCACCATACCAAGCAGACAGGAGAAGGGGATGTATGTGGTGTAGGCCATCTCGGGGTTGAAGACTGTCTGCAGCTCTGCCAGCACAGCCGGGTCCAGAGGCAGCAGTCCCCCGTCAGAGGGGGATGTCTCCAGGCTGGGGTTCTCACCGCGGCTCGGCGACTCCAGCATCACGCCCTGGACGAGAGAAAGCCAGAGGATATTCAGGGAGATCGGGCGCTCCCACTCACTGCCCCCCATGCAAAGGCTGAGGAAGTCACTCACCTGATCTGGAAGCTCCTGAAGCAGCGAGAAGGCCCCAAAGAAGGTTCCTACCGTGTCACTGAGGTGCTGCTGCACCATCTCCTGCCCAATCCGTAAGCAGATCAGGGCAATGAGGCTGATGGTCTTGACGCACAGGACAACGCGGGCCTGGGCCCCGCTGGGGAACCTGTGGAGGACACCAGTCATCACCCTGCCCCGGGTCACCGCCTCTCGCCCACTCGGTGCTTCTGACGCTGCAGGAGGCAGCGTCAAAGGGCAGTGGAGGAGGAGCCTTGTACACAGCAGACGCAGACCCCGGGGAGCATGTGGATTGGGGTGGGACAGCCCCACACCCCTCTGTTCGGAGATCCACCAGCAAGTGGCCGTGTCTTAAGTCGCCCATGTCTTTGTTGGAGCCAGGCCTGGCCCTGGGAGCAGAGGCTTCCTGCACTTACCCAATGGCAGGGGAGGTAAGGAAGCCCAGCACGGGCAGCAGCACCTCCTGGCTGATCTTAGGGAGGATGTCCATCAGGGTGGTGTCCGAAAGGCACACAATGATCTTCTGGGTCAGGGTCATGGCTGCCAGGAGCCCAGCCTCCTTCCGGCTGTTCAGTCGGCTAGCACCGGACCCGCTGCTGGGGGCAACCTGCAACAGCAGAAAGGAACTGAGGGCCCCAGAGTGCTCTCTGTTTCCCCTTCATTGCACAGGGGGTGCCCCCGGGAGCTGCCCCTGCACCCACCAAACCTGTGCCTGGGACAGCCAGGTTTATGCCTCCTGCTTCTTCCCTTGCAGAGAGCAAGAAAGGACCTGGAGACCTTGGCAGCTGGAATATCCCAGGAACTGACTTCAGACAGCCACGTCCACAAGTCATGTCAGGATCCAGCTCCAGCTCGTGGCCCATTCCAAGGGACCTCTGCAGCTGCTAAGGAGCTGGAAGGACAGCCCGTGGCCAGAACTGCGGAGGTGAGGCTGGGAATGCAAGTAACCACGTGCCTACAGACCTCAGAGCAAGAGGACAGTAACTGCAGCCTGGGCATCCTCCACACTGGCTGCAGCAATGCTGAAGGCATTATCTGTGCTCGCTGTAGAGGCAGGACATGCCCTCTGTAGAGCAACCCTATTCATTTACACTCCCAGCCGCGAGAAACTGCTGCCAAAACCCCGGAGTTTGTGCTGAAAGCTGAACACTTCTCAGCTACTGCTTCTACTCAGGCAAGATATTTCTGTGCATCCTTCTCCTCTTCCAGGTTCATTCAAGGTACTGCACACATCTTTGTTATCCCTCAAAAAAACCTCAAACCAACACAAAAAAAACCCAACCCTCTTGAGGCCAAGCACCTGCACGGGTGGCCAGAGTGTTTATTCCATCTGCAGCTTCAAAGTTTCATCACTTTGACACCAAGTTGCCGAAAACTGCTCTGCAACAATGGGGCCAACTGTTCTGTCCCCCCACCCCGATGCACTATTTGGAGTTATAAAAAAGCCTCCCCCTAAGCTAAGGCTGAACAGTCATCAGCTTTCATAGCTAGAAGCTGCAGTCACCCATCCTCAGCTGGGTGCAGAAGCTGAAAATCCCTCCAGTGCAGAATAGTCACAGGGCAGGGACAGCAGAAAGCTCTAAGATGCCCCTGTGCAAGCCACCAGCCACTTCAGCGGTTGAAAGCTGTCCACAAAGACGTGGCTGAAATCACGCTTTGTTACTCCTTTCCCCCACAAACGGCATCAGCGTCACTGCAGTTCATCAGGAACGACCGTCTTTGCTACCTCAAACTTTCCGAAGGATATGAAAACAAGGCTAGCAAAATCATTACCAGCACTCTTCACGTAGCCAGAAATGACACCCAGGAAACAAACATTGCTAACCAGTAGGGGGGAAATATGGAAAAGGATTCTCGTCCTCTTCCCCCTGCCAAACATGTCAGACTGCAATTCTGGTTCGGCCGTGTGCGCCACCTGCACAGATGGCAAACAGCAGAGCCCAGAAGTCTTGCCACTGGTTGGTATGCAGATGAAAGGCAGACTCCTCCAGCCCCTCCTTGGCCTGTTCCCCGTACACAGCACAGAGCTCCAAAGCATCAGCCCTGGGATAACTAAAGGCTCCTCGGCAGAGTGGTCCCGAGGACCAAAAGAAAGCAAATGCTGGCTCCTGGGAGTGGGAGTGTTTCCTCTGATGTCAGGAAAGTGCTCTCTCTGCCAACCCCCAGCCACCGAGCAGCACAGTGGCACTGCTCAGCCACCCTGGCCCAGGGTCAAAATCAGCCGAGGCGCGTGCCCACAAGAGCAGAGGGTTTTGCACAGGAGGCACAAGACAAGCGAGTGTGCAGCAGACTGGCCTCCCACACGCTTGCAGCACTAGTGCTCTTCCTCTCCCCCACCCTGGAAGGCAGGAGGTGAAGCAAGCCCCACTGACCAGGTAACTGATATAGGGCAGGTACTGGTAGGTGAGGACGGGCTCTCCATACAGGTGCGCCACGCACATGAGGCAGGCCAGGACCGGCTTGGACACCTGGTCCCCCAGCACTGGCCGCTTCTGGTAGATGTTCCCTCCGTTCAGGGGACCGTTTTCATCAGTGTTCGATGCAAACTGCTGTCTGGCTGGACCTGCCAGGGGGAAGAGAAAGGGCCAGCGAGTCAAGCCACTGCTTTGCCCCCGATGCTCCAGCCCGTGGCCTGTTCTGCCCAGTCGTGCATGCCAGGCAGGCACCCACACCCTTCTGGTGCAGGGCAGCATCCACAGCAGGCAACCCGGAGACAAGGCCCTCCAGCCGCTGCCCAGGAGGGGTGGGCCGTACCGATATAGCAGGACGTGAGCAGGCGGAGCAGGTTCCTGGCAATGTACCGCGATGTCACCGTAGGGCCCAGCCTGGCCGAGAGCCACCGCACCATCTTACAGGCCGTGTCTGCAAGCAAACGCACAATTGCAAGCGCACAGCGTGGGACAGAGAGATTAGCTATCGCTCAAACGCAAGGCAGCCAGGGCCCCAGGGCGCAGTCTGATGGAGAACCCCTCCAGAGCTGCCCACCCACTAACTCCAGAGCTACAGCCCAGCTCCTTCCACCCACTGCCCAGCCCAGCAGTACCACACGGGCACCGCCTACCACCACTTTCTGAAAGACTAGTCTGTCCAGGGCCAGACACGCCCCAGTCACCTGCCCCAGACTCCAGGTGCCCCTGGGGCTGGATCCCGCAGCCCTGGGATGGCACCCGTTTCCCCTCTCACCCCCTCACCAGGGGGCCCTTACCCAGGAGGATTGTCTGCTCTTTGTCTTCCAAATGATCCTGCAGCTCCTGCTCTGGCTCCGGCTCCTGCTCCTCCCCTGGCTCACTGTGGTCATCAGCCAGGGCAGCATCCACAGAGCTGCCAGTGTCTTCAGGCAGGCTCAGCTCAGCAACCACCGTGGCATCATCGTGCTCTTCTTCCTCCTCCTGCTGCTGCTCCTCGTCCTCGTCCTCGTCCTCGTCCTCCTCGTCTTCGCTCTGCTTCAGGTCTTGGCTGCTGTCCATGGACTTCAGGCTGCTCTTATCCTTCTGGGAGTCCCCGTCAGCAGGCCGGTCCTCTCCCAGCGACACCTCACTGGCGCTGCTCTTGTCGCTCAGCCGCCCGAGGCTGAGCAGCTCCTGCTCCTGGGGCTGCAGCGACTCGCCCACGTAGAGGCCACTCTGGAAGTCCTCACCCTCAGGCAGGTAGGCCTGGTCATGGAAGCTGACACCCGACGTGTAATCCAGGAGGTCGAGTGTTACAGAGCCATGATCTACGTCCATTTTGATCTCCTCCCCAAAAGCACAAGACACTGGGCTGCCCCCTCCACTCTCTTCATCCTCTGCGGCTCCCAGCAGGGCCTTGCTTTCCTCCTGGGAGCTCTCAATGCCCACGAGAATCTGCAGGATGTGGGGCAGCAGGTTGGAGAGGAAGGACTGCAGCCCCAAGCGCACGATTAGCTGGGCCACGAAGCAGTCCGTGTACAGGTAGAAGCGGCCGTGGAGGTAGCAGGGGTTCTCGTACGCACCGATCAAGGGCTTGAGCAGATACTTATTTGTATTCTTTGGGCCCAAAGCTTTGGCAATGGGCTCGAAGAGATACCACGCAGTGTAGACTGCCGCGTTCTCCTCAGACATCAGAGACAGGATGAAGGGCAGCAGGATCTCCAGGCCCTCGGGAGTGATTTCACAGAGTATCTCTTCCAGCTGCTGCCACAGCTGGAAGACAAGCTCGCGGCCCTGGCCCTCATCCTCCACCTTCCTGGACTGGTAGGTGAAAATGAACCTGTGCAGAGCAGGGAAGTAGGGCGGGAAGGGAATGATTGAGCTGAAGGGGCTAAGGAGCTGCAAGGGGCAGGGCGGCGGGAGGCCTTGGGACACAGGCTCGTATTCAAACAGCTGGACCCTGCTCCTGGCCACTGGGCTCTTCAGCAGCCTCCCCACAGGCACACTCAGCTGCAGCAAGACACCCAGCATGTGCTGGAGTGGCGCCGGGACTTCCTTTGGATAGTACCGGCAGAGGCTGCGGACCATCAGGAACCGCTCCAGCAGCGACGCATCTGGCTTCAAGGCGCGAATCCTTGGGGCAAACACCAGCTCAGCAACCAGGACCCCCAGTGCCTGCATGTCTCTCTGGAACAGGTCTGAGAGGCCCAAGGGCAGCTCCACCTCCAGCTGCTCCGTGAGCTCTATCTCGCTGTTCAGGCCTCTGACCAGGAAGTTGTCCAGTTTCTCCAGCTCCTCCAGGGCCTGCAGAGGACTGAACCCTTCCGGAAGCGCAATCTTCATCTCGTCCCTGTCAGTCTGGTCCGTGCCGCCGGGCTTGCTCCTTCGAGTCGGCCGGGTGCTGGGAGCTTTGCCCTCTGCAGCCACGGCGGGGAGGCTGGCGGGGTGAGCTGAAGGGGTGCCAGGGCAGGACTGGTCAGCCGCTCTGCCCGCGGCAGGAATGGAATCCAGAGCCTCGGTGCCCTGCTCCAAGTCGTCCTCGGTGCTGACAGCCTTGTCTCCGGACCAGCTGGTCTCACTGGGGACGGCCTCCATGACCAGCCCATCCGGCCCCTCGGCTGCCTGGGCCTGGGCATCCTCCGGGGCCGGCGCCTCTCCGATGTTCTGGACAAGAGGCCGAGCAATGACCGGCGCAATGGCAGGCGTATAGACAGGTCCCACCATGCGCCGGGGGTGTGGCTGGTCGAAGAGCTGCACCACCCCGTAGGTGGTCAGGTGCGTGTGGTTGTCCACCAGGTGCAGGCAAACGTTCTTCTCCTTGATGGCATCCTTCCCCTGCAGCTTGTAGCCGAACGTGAGGTCGATCCAGTGGTGGAGGTCCTGGGAGACCTCCCGACTCTCCAGCAGCGCGCGGTGCACGTCCACAAACTCCTCGCAGGAGCCGCACCAGGCTGGCACGTCCAGGTCAGGCATGTCGGGATGGATGGACTTGAAGATGGTGGGGTCTGTGAAGAACTCGGGGATGCACTCGTCAGGGGTCCAGCTCTGCATGCGCTCCATGCTGGCCGGGTACTCGTTGGGCTCCCACTGGGACCGCACGTGGCAGCACAGCACGGCCTTGGGCGTCCTGCGGGCAGTGTACACGTAGTAGGTGATGTCCGAGAGCACGTCAGAGATGTGGTGGGGCACGTGGAGCTGCTCCCCGCTCAGCCCGCCCGCCACAAATGCCTGTTTGGTCATCTCGTAGGTGAAGTCCAGCTGCTTATCGCCCTTGTTGAGGCGGAACTTGGACTTCCTGAGGTCCCTGAACTTGCCGTTGCGGCTGGTGAAGTCCACCACCCAGGGCAGGACAGGATGGTAGTTGGGGTCCCCCAGCCGGCGCCCAGCCAGGCGGTTCAGCTGCATAAGGTAGTGGAAATTGCTAACGCGCCCGTGCACCCAGTCCAGCACCAGGTCCCTGAGCTCCCGCTGGCAGGCCACGCACCTGGCCGCCTGCCCCAGACGTGGCACGGGCCTGCCCTTCTCAGCTCCCTGCTCTTCACCAGCTCTCGAGGGCCCCTCCGTGTCCAGCGGCCTCTCGTACCCGCCGAGGCGGACCCTCAGGCGGCTGCACAGCTTCTCGTCCACGGCCACGTCGCGCAGGGAGAAGGGGCCGCAGGCCAGCCCCGCCTGGTGACAGGCCTTCATGGCCTGCAGCACGTGGAAGAGGAGGAAGAGGACCTTGGCATGGCTGTTGGCGAGCTTGGCGGGGCTGAAGGTGACGACGTCGTGCAAGCAGAACTGCACGTAGGGGTGGATGACGTACAGCGTGTCGGCGGACTCCAGGAGGGCCTCCGCGCGCAGGACGTTGGGGCAGACGGGCGGCTCCTTGGCAGCGGCACCGCCCTCCTTGGCAGGAGACGAGCCCTGCGCGCCCCGGCCCACCTGCAGCAGGGGGCAGCCGTAGAGCC